TTTGCTTTGCCAGGGCCATGGCTCAGTCCAAGGGCACAGTGGTCCTCGCCTACAGCGGGGGCCTCGACACCTCCTGCATCCTGGTGTGGCTGAAGGAGCAGGGCTATGAAGTCGTCGCCTACCTGGTGAGCTCCATGCCGAGCCCTGCCACGTGGACCCTGTCCTCGGGGGCTGGGGGTAGAGGGGGCGCTGGGCCATGGGTCTGGGGACCTGGGTGGGTGACGGGGGTCCTGGTGTGTGCGTGGCCATGGTGGTGACCCTGCTGTTGCTGGTTAACCATCGCCCAGTCTGGGTGCTGCTCTGCTGAGCTGCCAGTCCTGTGTGGCACAGCCTGTCCCTGCCAGCAAATGATCCTCGGCTAATGAGGGCAGAGCGTCGGGGCAGAGCCAAGGGGCTGGGGGCCATGAGTTGTTCTGTCTTTGCAGGGGCAACCGCCCTCCTGCCCATCCTGAGTGGCTTCAGGCCTGGCCAGCACGGGCTCTGCACGATGCCCTGTGCCAGGCTGGGCTTGCACTGGGTTTTGTGGTCTCCTTTCAAGCTCAGTCTGATTTATTTTTTTTTTTTCCCCCTTTCAGGCCAACATTGGGCAGAAGGAAGATTTTGAGGCAGCACGAATGAAGGCGCTGGCGCTGGGGGCCAAGAAGGTAACAGTGTCCCTCCCTCCGAGTGCCCAGGGGGCTCTGAGCTCCCCCTGCTCCCCACCGTGGGGCTCAGCCCTGGGGTCTCGCACACCCCGTGCCCAGGGCCACCATAGCGCTGGGGGACAGGGCCAGCGAGGAGTCCCTTTTCCAGAGGTTTTGCACCAAAGCCTTCTAGCATCATCTAGGAAAGGAGAGGCCAAGGGACCCTTTGCTGCACCATCCCCAAAGCCCCAGAGGAGTGCGATCGCCCCCCCCCAGCCACTCTCCTGTCACAAGGCACCCTCCGTCCCGGCAGGTTTACATCGAGGACATCAGCAAGGAGTTCGTGGAGGAGTTCATCTGGCCGGCGGTGCAGGCCAACGCTCTCTACGAGGACCGGTACCTGCTGGGCACGGCGCTGGCACGGCCCTGCATCGCCCGCAAGCTGGTGGAGATCGCCCAACGGGAAGGAGCCCAGTACGTCGCCCACGGGGCCACCGGCAAGGTGAGGGAGGATG